TTCAGGCACAGGCGAGGCCTGAGAACTAAGCATTCATCCTGCGCCTCCTTTATCTCCATTCTCTCTGAACGCATTCCTTCCATGCTTGGGAGCATGACCTGGATCGCATTTCACTCTCGCCGTCACCTGGGGAGCTGGGGCTGTATTTCTTATCTTGCTGATATTTATCGCGTTTGTGAAAGTGGGACAGTAAGGAAGAAAGGGGCTAGAAGGGGGGCTCAGCCCAGCTGAGAAGAGCCCCCTGAAGTTCCTCGTGAGGCTGCCGTCACTCAGTCCGCACGCGCGCTCATTATCTGGTGACATTTCCACGCTGAGCTCTACCTCTGCCTCCCCAGAGAGGCGACCACGAAGGTTCGTCTGATCTTCCTCTTCCCTACCCCTCTGCTCCCCGCCACCCCCAAGTCCTTTTCATCCTTGTATTTGAGGGCAGGCATCCTCCGTGTGCCAGCTGGTGACACACAACTCTCGGGGGACGCCAGGACGGCTTCTTCCTGTCGCTTCAAAGGGCCTTTGGCAGCTTCACTCCGGGGATGGTGGATGTGGCTTATGATCTAGGAAGCCGAGGCAGCTGCTGAGCTGGACTGGGGAGTCCTGGCAGTTTCCTTCCCTAACCCATCGCAGGGCCCAAGAAGGCGATGGGGGACAGGATGCGTTTGCAGGGAGAGGGCTGAGGCAGGCACTGTGCCCCTGTAAGACCCCCATTGCCCCCCCTGAGCTGTGGAGCAAGGTCTGCTGCGGGGGCAATAGCAGGAAAGTGGGCTAAGATGGGGTCAGGGGTACAATCCTCACTGTCCAGACCAGGCCTTCCAGGAGCTCTTCCAGAAGGTTCCAAGGCCTGGGCTCCACTTGGAAACCCAGGAAGGGCTAAGAGGGGGCCTGGGGAGGGTGTCAGGGCTGGGAGGGAGCCTATTCTCCTTGCCTTCTCTGATCTAAGGGGAGGCGGGACCTGGGATGGGGCTGGATGCATCCAGGTTGACTGATGCTTGAGTTGGCCGCTTCCTCCTTCCTCCCGGGAGCCCCTCCTCCTCATGACTCAGATGGTGTTTTCGGGGTGAGAGACGACACCTGTCCCAGGGAGTTGTTTAGTAACCCTCAGTGCCAATGCAGATTGGGGGAATCCCATAACTTGCCCCACTTCAGTCTTGCAAATTGAACACCACCATGGGCTGGTGGCCTGGAGGGGAAGTGGGAGGCGTGTCCTCAACAGGATGTGGGCCCAGGTACCCCTGAAACAGGGGTTGGCCAAGGAGACAAGGCCAGGCAGGGAGGTCGAACAGAAACACAAATTCCTAGTATGAAAATTGTCAAACACACACAAATAGGCTGCTGCAGGCTGGGTCCCTGGACTCGGTAATGACCAAACTGGCCATTCTCTCATTGGTCCACTTTCAAAATTAAGATTCTGTGAAAAGGTGAGCAGTAAAGGTGAGTCATCAGTGTTGTCTCATTGCTTTGGGAAGCAGTTGTGGGCTAAAGAGATGTGGCTGCCAGCAGGTGGGCTGCATGGGGGCGCCCGGACCCAGCCTTGCTGGGGAGCCTGCAGGTGGTGTGGCCAGACTTTCTCTGGCTCCCCCCAGGACAGCACCAGGGCCAGGGGCCACCCCCACCAAGGCCCCCGTGGGCACATGCCTCTTTTTTTTTGGGGGGGGGGTCATACCTGGTGATGCTCAGGGGTTACTCCTGGCTCTGTACTCAGGAATGACTCCTGGCGGTGCTCAGGGGACATTTTGGGATGCTGGGAATTGAACCCGGGTCGACTGCATGCAAGGCAAACACCCTGCCTGCTGTACTATCGCTTCAGCCCTGGTCACACGCCTCTTTACTGAGAGTCTGGCTGTAGCTTGTAGGGACCAAGAGGTGAAGAACAGACTCCTGTCTGCGCTGGGATCTTGGGGGGGGAAAGCTTGTGGGGACCACTCACTCACTGATTGATAGTCTGCTGGGTCCTGGGGACACAACAGAGGACCAGACCCACACAAACCTTCATTTCTTTGCCTCTAACGTGCTTCTCTGCCTCTAGCCATCCTGGACTACGGGGTATGACCCCATGTGTGCGCTGTTTGCTTTGGCTGGATCCATCTTTCCTGCAGTGACACCACCCCGAGGGGGTGCTTTCTATGTGTTCACTTAAAGAAGGTAGATTTCCGGGGTGCCCAGAGGGCTTTTCTTTGTCTTGAAAATGAGGAAATAGGCCCACGAAGTTTGGGATCCTTGGGGTTAAAAGACTAGGCTGTGCCCGGCTGTGTGCCCCATCGCCCATCTCCCAGCAGGGACCTTTAGGCTATGAGGAAGGGGGAGCAGGTGAGCAGGCTCCAAAGCTGCTGTTTGCATCCCAGTCTCCGTGGCCGCTGCGTGGCACCTCTCTCCATGCCTCTGTTATGCGGGTCAGCAACAGACCCCTCTCTGGCTTCCTTTGAGCTGGTTCCCGTCACTGGCAGCCAGCAGCGTTCAGCCCTAAGAATCTGGCCCTATGGGTGGTTGACCGGGGAAAGCCCTGGGACAGAGCCTCAGTGGGCTTGGAATGGGGACTGCAGAGCCTTTAACCGCCAGCTGGAAGTGTCCTGCACTACATACAACTCCCAGTGCCCACGGGATTGCTCCCCAGGCCTGCTGACCCCTCCTGCTCCATGGCTGGATGAGTGCCTCCGAGTGGCCTCTGCAAGGCATGGGTGGACAAGAGGGATCAGTGTGAGGAGGCGGCTCCAATCTCAGCTTCTCCAAGGTCCCTACCCCAAGACTGATGCTGAAGCCCAAGGCCACACCTCACCCTTTCGTTTGCTGGTGGGAAAAGGTGACAGATACAGGGTTGGGGGTCTTCCGGTAGGAAAGTGGAAGGATAGGACAGGGAGGGACAATCCATGCCTGACCCTGAATTTGTGTTTCATTCACGGGTGTCTGGGAGAGATTATTTAATTTTTATTGGGGGAGGGATGTTGGGCCACACCCAGCTGTGCTCAGGGCTGACTCCTGGCTCTGTGCTCGGGTATCACTCCTGGAGGTGCCCGGGGGACCCTGTGTGGTGCTGATATTCAAGCTGGGCTGGGCCACCTGCAAGGCAAGCGTCTTGGTTTGGGATGAGATGAAGCATGTATAGGACATTTTCCCAGCAGCTGGTTGTTTTGGGAACATCACATTGCACTTCCCCGACTCCCCTCCCGGCCCCACAGTCCTTGTTTCTATTTTTATGCTGTCACTGAAATCAATCATTATTACTGAGGGCGCTCACCTGACTCGGATCACAAAGGCGAGTTCAGTGCTTATTTGGGCAGGTGTTAAATGGTCCAAAGCAATAACTATTTTTTGGAAGTAATGGTGGGGAGGCAATTCTGGCAAGGCTTCTGGATCTGTTCTTCAGTGGTATCTCTCCAGCATAACTTAAAAAAATTAATGATTTTATTTTGCTTTGAGGCTACTCCCAGGGATGCTTGAGGGCAGCAAGCTAGTTCTGCTTTTTACTTGAGGCTGAACCCAGGTCTCCCACATGCAAAGTATGTGCTCAGACCATTGAGCTAACTCTCTGGCCTCCAAACTGTTCCTTTTTCAGGAGTAGTAATTCCTTCCATTTGAGTAGGTTATATCTGGTGGTGCTCAGGGCTCACTCCTGGCTCACTCAGTGCTCAGGGATAACTCCTGGCAGGACTTGGGGAACCAGATGTAATGCCCAGGAACAAAGTCTTGCAGGGCTGCATGCAAAGCAAGCGCCTTACCTGTTGTATTTCCCTCAGGCCCAACTGGCCAATTTCTGAGAACTTGGTGGGAGCTGAACCCCAAGGCAGAAGGACATGTGCATTTTGCTGGAGCACTCCTATGGGGATTTGGGGTCTACACATACCTGCACCTGACACTCAGGAACTCTGGTCTTTGTATAAATTCATAGAGATGAGCTAAGTGGGAAGGTCCCAGGAACGTTTGTTCTCATCCAGTGTCCAAAGGAGGGGCCAGGGACGGTGAAGCTGCTACCCTCAGTTGTGCTGAGATATTGGGAGCCCTAGTGAAGAATGTTCCTACCCAGAGATTTGCTTCCTGGATCCTCTGACAGATGGAACCCCCAAATGCCTCTCTCCTTCCACTGGTTCTATCATACCCATCAGTAGGGAGCACTAGACTCGTAGGTGGGAGATTTGGGTTCCATTTGTGTGAGTGCTTCTGGGGGGCCTTAGAGGCCTCCGCCCCCTGGCTTGTTTATCTGCCATATGTGAGTAATCACCAAATTTGTTCTCGGGGTGATTTTGAGATATGGTGAGTTACTGTGGGTGAAAGAGCTTTGGAAAAGCTATGCCGTATTCCATAGTGCGAAGAATAGTCCCCAAAAATCAAACTCAGCTCTCATTTCTTGTTCAGAGTCACTCACTGACTTTTGAACATGATGCTCAGATGGAAACCAAAGACAGCACTGCCCCACATCCCTTTAGTGGAAAAAGTACCCACCTGGCATCTTTGGAGAGATCGATTCTGAAGCAGGTTCTGGAGCCTGAATTTTTGTGCTGGCAGAGAGGAAAATACTGTTGGTTCATAATGGCAAGGACTGAACTAACTCCTCACAGCAAAGAAGAATGAAATCTCTCTCTCTCTCTCTCTCTCTCTCTCTCTCTCTCTCTCTCTCTTGTTTTGTCTCTCTCTCTGTCTCGTTTGTATTTTTTGGGTCATATCCGGCTTTGCTAAGGGCTTATTCCTGGCTCTGGGATCAGTCCTAGTGGGCTCAAGGACCATATGGGAAGGTAGGGATTGAACCCAAGTCAGCCTCATGCAAGGCAAGTACCCTAGCCGCTGTGCTATCTTTTCAGTCCTGAGATCTTCCACTAGTTGGTGGGGGAAGAAAGAGCTTGGGAAGTGCAGCAGGAAGTAGGGCTTCTTCCAAGGACCTGTCGTCAAATATGGCATGTTGTTCGCAAGAGATACACTTCTGTGTTTGGAAGAACAGAGAGAGGCTGTGGAGGGCTGGCGAGGGAAATGGGAAGAGGAGAAAGGAGAGGTTGGGCTCAAGAACCCTGGCCGCTGCGTCACTTTCTGGACTTCCCTCCAGAGCAGCCACTGTTGGTCTTACTCAGCAACTCGGAGCTCCCCATCTGCGAGCAGCCACTGTTGAGGATCTTGTCAATTTCTCCGGGGATGTTTTGCTTTTCCTCATTCTCAGTCTCCCGATGGTAGAAGTAGTTAAAGTTGGAGACAATGACCGGCACAGGGAGGGCGATGGTGAGGACTCCGGCAATGGCACACAGGGTACCCACAATCTTCCCTCCTGGGGTGGTGGGGCACATGTCCCCATAGCCTACGGTTGTCATGGTGACCACAGCCCACCAGAAGCCATCAGGGATGCTGGAGAAATGGGACTCAGGCTCGTCCACCTCGGCAAAGTAGACGGCGCTGGAGAAGAGGATGACACCGATGAAGAGGAAGAAGATGAGCAGCCCCAGCTCCCGCATGGAAGCCTTCAGGGTCTGGCCCAGGATCTGCAGCCCCTTGGAGTGGCGGGAGAGCTTGAAGATGCGGAAGACCCGCACCAGGCGGATGATTCTCAGGATGGCCAGGGACATGTTCTGTTGGGCGCTCTGCTCGGTCTCCTGGACCAGCTCGGTGATGAGGGTGGCGAAGTAGGGGATGATGGAGATGATGTCGATGATGTTCATGATGTTCCGGAAGAAGTCGGTCTTGCTGGGGCAGACCACGAAACGGAGTACCAGTTCGAAGGTGAACCACACGATGCAGGTGGACTCCACCATGAAGAAAGGGTCGGTGAACATGGTGTGCGGGAGGGGCGTCTTGCTGCTGTTGAGGCTTGGGTCCCTTATCACTTTCAGTTCCCTCTCCTCCCGGAACTCAGGGAGTGTCTCCAGGCAGAAGATGGTGATGGAGATGACCACTACCAACACGGAGACCACGGCCACACCTCGGGCAGCGCTGGAGCTCTCGGGGTACTCAAAGAGGAGCCAGAACTGCCGGTGGAAGTCATTGGTGGGGAGTGGGATTTCAGGGTCTTTGATAAAGCCCTCGTCCTCCCGGAATTGGTCCATGGCCTCGCTCCCCAGCTCGTAGAAGGAGATCTCATCAGCAAAGATATCGATTGGGACATTGGCCGGGCGCCGGATTTTGCCGCCAGATTGGTAATAATACAGAATGCCGTCAAAGCTTGGCCGGTTCCGGTCAAAGAAATACTCATTTCTCATGGAGTCAAAGAACTGCATCCTCTTTTCCTGGTCTCCCAGCAGCGTCTCCGGGAACTGGTTGAGGGTTCTGAGCTGAGTCTCGAACCGCAGTCCAGCGATGTTGATGATGACCCTCTGGGTCCCTTCACTCAGGACCCCTGACTCCGGCCCTGGGCCATCCACACTATCTGCTGGCAGCTTGGTGAAGGCCGTCTCGTGGTTTGTGCCATCACTGACCAGGATTCTCCAGTTGGAGAAGGGGCTGCTTCCAGGACGGCCTTTTGAGCTGGTTGGGTCAAAGTCTGTGGTGTAACCTGGTTCCTCCTGGATTTCATCCGAGTTATCGAAATTGACCAGAGCGACCTGCATTTCTTTCCAGCCACACACATCCATCCTAGGAGACACGGGGAAGCAGCATGAAGACCCTCAGCCTTCCCTGCCTGCTGCAAGCTGTGGAGAAGAAGAAGGGCCGTTAGAGAAGAGCCAGGAAGGGGGTGCTGGCTCCTGATCTTGGAGGTGAGGTAGACCAGGGGATTACAAAATGGCTGATTCTGCTATAGGGGCAAGCTCGAGGGCGTGTTTGGGAAAATTGGGAATAATGGTGGTGGGAAGGTGCAGTGGTGGTGGGATTGGTGTTGGAATATTGAAGGTAACTAATCATCACTGTCACAGTCACGGTCCTCCTGTTGTTCATCGATTTGCTCGAGTGGGCCCGGTAACGTCTTCATTGGAGACTTTGTTGTTACTGTGTTTGGCATATCGAATACTCTCGGTAGCTTGCTGGGCTCTCCGAGAGGGGCTGAGGAATCGAACTTGGGTCGGCCATGTTGGCCGCTTGTAAGGCAAACGCCCTACCGCTGTGCTATTGCTCCAGCCCCAACTAATCATCAAAACAACTTTATTAAAAAATAAAATTAAAGAAACAAAAACAAACAAAAGTGACTGATTTTCAGCTTGGAGAGGAACCTCATGGTTGTTTTGGCAACATTTCCCCCCTTTTGCACCCTTAATTTGCACCCTGACTCTACACTTGTTAGTCAACCAGGAGAAATTGCAAAGCAGGGCCCTGGCTGAGAGGGTGGGACTTTCTCCAGCACAACATTGTGGTCTCCATGCACAGAGAGCAGCCATGATAAAAGAGTAAGCTAAAGCAACCTTAAAAAAATATTTTTGTGTGTTTTGTTTTTGGTTCACACCCAGCAGAGCTCAGGATTTACTCCTGGATCTGTGCTCAGGGATCACTCTGGTGGGGCTTGGGGAAACATATGGGGTGTTGGGGATTGAGCCCAGGTCCCTATGGGCAAAGCACTATCTCTCTGGCCCCATAAACTATTGTTTCTTGATAGGAAAATTCTGCTTCTGGATCAAGTTGAGCACTTTGCCTGACATTTTTTTCCATACCTCATCACCAATGCTTTCCTTTCTCTCACATCTCAAAACATCTAGAACTCGGTCATGTCCCAGCACCATTGCACTCTCTCTCAGAACAAGGGATTGGTGGGCCCACAAGTTCAGCAGGGAATCTCTTGGCAGCAAGAGCAAGAGGTTGAGGGCAGCCAATGGTGTGCTCTCCAGTGGCAGACAAGTTGGCCTCTTCTCCCCCCTCTCTAGGGCATTGAGGCTTCATTAAATGTGATATTTCTAGAAAGCCCAATGGAAAATCACCAAGCTAGCGCTTTTTGCTAATACTTCCACATAGCAGGAATGTTTAATGAATCAACTCATTTTTTGGTGTTTGGGCTACCCCCAGCAATGCTCAGGAGTTACTCCTAGCTCTGCACTCAGGAATTACTCCTGGTGCTGCACGGGAGGACCATATGGGATGCTGGGTATCGAACCCCGGTTAGCCACGTGTAGAGCAAATGCCCTACCTGCTGTACTATCTCTCTGGCCCCACTGGCGATTCTTGGTCAGCAGGGCCAGTGGGTCAGTGCAAGGGCCTGAGGATGAGGTGCTGCCTGGGCCCTACAGTGCTGGGGGCTGCCCCGCCATACCCGGCAGTTCCCGGGAGGCTCATGAGGCATCAGGGATTGGACCCAGATCAGGCATACAGTAGGCATGACATCAATCCAGTGACTCATTCTTGGGGGCAAACAACGTATCTTTCCTGTGCCCTGGTGTACCTCTGGGAGAATGCTCCACTCCCTCTTCAGCTTTGCCCTTCCTGCTCCCATACTGCAGGGCCTGGCATACACTTTGCCCTTATTCTCCCCTTTCTACTTCTCCACCCGGCCCTTTGGGTCCTCCCAACGGGCAGCCGGTCCAGCCTCAGAGGCCCTCCCCGCAGCCTCTGACTTTTTTGCCCCATCCCTTGTGGGCACCTGTCTGCGGGCAAGGGATGCCTTACTCTATAGTACCCTCTTTAGTTACCTTTCAGGGAGCAAGATGGCAGCTGAACGTTTTCCTTCCAACTAGCATCATCTCGGGCTGGAGAGCTAGCACAGCACGTAGGGCGTTTGCCTTGCACATGGCCAACCTGGGTTTTATTCCTCCATCCCTCTCGGAGAGCCTGGCAAGCTACAGAGAGTATCTCACAGAGCCTGGCAAGCTCCCCATGGCATATTCATTATTCCAAAACCAGTAAGAACAAGTCTTGAACTGGAGACCTTACTGGTGTCCGCTCTAGCAAATTGATGAACAACCGGAGGAGAGTGCTACAGTGCTAAGCATGATCTCAGAGGACAGGATTTGCCTCTGATGCCACGTAACAGCCCCAGTGCCTGGCTCAAACTGGAAGACAAAGGGGTGACTGGGTCTGGGCAGGAGGTAAAGAGGCAGATCAAGGACACGCGTGATTTCCGCGCATGCGCGGCTACTATCTGGAGGCAGGTGGAGACACAAATGCAAGTGCGCCCCCATGAGGGCAGGGGCAGTATCTGTTTAGTTCACTGGATTCCAGCACGATGCCCAGGATTCACGGCCAGAGGGCTCAGGCACTGCAGAAAGTATGAGGGAAGGAATGAGTGTTAGTTGAAGGCAGTGTGGCTGGCAGCATGCTGGGTGCAGAGTCGGCACATGCTGGCTGGTGCTTCATGATCACTGGCTACTTGGTTTTCATCATCAAGATTCGTTTTTCCCATCTGTGATGAGACAACACAGAGTACGTACATATGGCTGAACTTTTCAGGTTGTACGCTTTTAAATCTAGGGCCCTTCACGTGGACTTAATAAATACACACACGGCAAAGTGACATGTGCTTCTCCACAAACACAAACACAAGTACACAGTCATCCAATGATGTGTCACCATTTTTTGTAAAGACCCAAGTGGTCATGTGGATGTTTTGTGACTGCCAGGTCATGTGGAGGGAGAGGGGACAGGGCCTGGCTTGGCTCTCAGCCCAGCACCAGCACCTCTAACAGTTGAGAGAGAACATCTGTATCCAAGGCCACGGGTCTGCAGAGTGGGCAGTGGAGGCCACCCTCATGGTGAGCACAGGGTCAAGTATCACCTCACTCCATCCCTGTCATTTCTCCCCAAGTGCTGTGACTTCTTTAGGTCCCTCAGTTCGTTGTTTCTGAGGGCAGGATGGTCACTCGCCACACCCAACTCACCACTGGCAGTGCTCGAGGGACCATACGGGATGCTGGGAATCGAACCCAGGTCAGCTGTGTTCAAGGCAAATGTTCTACCCATTGTACTATTGCTCCAGTCCTTGACCTTTATGTCTAATGGGGGTACCCAAGTGGTGCTCAGGGCCCCTCGCACCTCTCCTGGCAATAATCAGCCAATAGGGCTGGGTGGGGTGGGTGTTTCCCTGAGCCTTCCCCAGCAGGCTGTAGCCTGACTTCTGGAACACACAGAGCTGGGCCCAGCCTCTCCCGGCCTTCCTCATCTCTTTCCTGGGTTGCTTAGCAACCCCTCAGCTCCTGCACATTCAGGTGAAGCGGCAGCTGGGCAAGTGGGAAAATGGGGAGAGATCATCAGGCAAAGACACTGGGGTGCTGGACAGGGACAGGGCACAGAGGTGAGGGGAGGGTTGAGGAGCTCAGATATTATAGTTTGAGGGGGGGTGGTCTCAGCGCATGGGGGCTGCCCAGGAGGCTGGCAGGGCATGTTCTTAGGTCTGCTGGGCTCGATATTGCCAGGCCCCTCCCTTCCCTTTGAGAGGCCCCTTTACTCCTCAGCACCCACTGTGCTCCCTCTGGGGGGAATGTGCAGGCCCAGCCCTGTCTCACCCCAGACACTGCGTCAGCCTGAGCTAACCCATCACTGTGGTGAGAGAATCTATTCCTAGCACCGGGCTGGACTCAGGGCCTGTCCGTCCTCCCAGCGGGGGAAGGAGGTTTCTGCAGCACAGGCTCCTCTGGCCTGGAAATAGAAGACCCAGCCAGCTCTTCTATGCAGTCAGGCATCTATTCTAGACCACACTGGAGAGCTCAGTCTCTCGGCCCCCAGGGGGAGGTGGCCCCAGACCCCAACTCTCCTAGTCTCCTGAGCAGAAGCTGGGGGCAGGCAATGGCAGCCTTGGAGGGAAGGCAAAGGCTGTCAGCAGGCTGGGGGTTCAGCGGGCAGGAGTCAGTGCCTGGGGGGCTTGGAGAAAGCACCAGTCTGTATGGAATGGGGTGTTGACTCAGCAGGGCCACGGGGCAGGTGTGTGGGTCCCAGCCACTGGGGACTGTCCCTGCTCACGCAAGCCTGTTGGCGCCTTGGGGGGACACCTTGGGAGGAGGTGGGGCCCTTCGACCAGGGCAAAGCTGACCCCTCCTGGCCCCACTCCGGCCACCTCCACACTGGCTGCCCAGTGATGTCATGAACTTCACAAAGGCCTCACAGGGAGGGAGCGATCATGGTCCCTGATCACAAAATGGACCTTAAAAGGTGTGTGACAGGCCAAAGAAGGGGGCCGTGACTCATGTCCCAGTTTTCTAGTCCCTATACCAACAGATTTTATCTACCCTGCGGCCCCCAGAGCAGTGGAGCTGCTATGATATGTTTGATGTGTGTGTGTGTGTGTGTGTGTGTGTGTGTGTGTGTGTGTGTGCGCGCTAGCATGGGCATGCATGGATGCTCTTGTTTACATCCTGCCATGAACTCTGCTTGGGGCTCACACACTCAGATGTGGGCAAGCAGGAGGTGAGAAACACAGTCACCCCTGCCCCCCACATATACACAGACCCACATACACCCCCACACAACTCCACACAGTCACACACACAGACCCGCACAGATACTCCCACAGATATACATACATGGTAGGTACACATGTGCCTACCACATCCCTGAGCTTTTTGGGAAGCTCTCTACAGTGCACACACAGACACAGACTCACAGACACAGTCACACAGACACACACACACACACAATCACACAGACCAACTCTGATGTATCCAATGGTTATTTGGACCTTTTCAGGCACAAGTGCTGCATCTTAAACTAGCCAGACCCCCAAACCCGCGGGCAGACAGGG